TGAAATAAACGAATGATCTTTACCATTTTGGTTTTGGTGGACAACCAAGTTTGCTGATGATCATCCATAATCCTTCTCTATTGACGGTATCAAATGTTTTTGTCAGATCAATGAAGACACTAAACAGATCCATGTTTTGTTCGATACCTTTTTTTTTGTATTTGCTGGATATTAAAAATCATGTCTATGGTGCTACAACCAGGTCTGAATCCACACCGAGTCTCAGTGGACTTGGCTTTTGAGACAGATGAAATCAGACGGTTCAGGAGGACATGAACAAAGATTTTTCCCAGTGACAGATAGGAGCGAGATCCCACAGTAGATATCACAGACCATTTTGCTGCCTTTATTTTTAAATAAAGGAATAATTGTGGCATCTTTGAAGTCCTGTGGCATTTCTTCTTTGCCCCAGATGGCATTAAGGATCTTCTGGAGTGCTGTTACCACCTTTGGACCTGCAGATTTATATATTTCTGCCAGTATTCCACCTCTGCCCGAGGACTTTCCTGAGCTCATCATACTGATTGCCTTTTCTATTTCTTCAAGTGAGAGGGGCAAGTCAAGGTGGTGCTGAATAGACTTTTGAGGTATCTGATTAATAGCACTTGTTTCAATTGAGGATGGTCCATTCAGAACGTGGCTGAAATGTTCAGCCCATCTCTGTTCCATGCGATATTTGTCTTTGATGACTGTCCTGCCATTCAGCCATCATGAGTGAACCTGTGTCCACCTTTGAAGGTCCATAGACTAGCATCAAGGAATCAAAGAACTTCTTTGTCTCCGAATACATTCTGAATACATTTGAATGTCTTCTGATACCTTCTCCCACCATTTCTCTTGTATTACGTGTAGTTGTCTTTGTGCCTTGCTTTGCAGGTGTTTGAATCGGTCTCTCTCTGAGGTGGACTGAATATCATGTTGCCAGATTTGGAAAGCCTCATTTTTTTTCTTTCAAGTGTACTGGGATTTCCTCATCATTTTCATCAAACCAGTCATGGTGAGCCTTTTTCTTCCGTCCGAGGACATCAGTTGCAGTTTTTTGTACTGGATCTCTGAATTCCTCCCATGAGACAGGGTTATCACCAAGACTGGTTTCTAGTGCACTTTGTAGCTTGTCTCGATAGGATGCATGGTTTAGTTTAGCAATATCGGGGGACATCTTGATTGTTTTGGGGCATTTCTGGCGCATGGGTACAATGTATAAATGCTGGTAAACTGTAGATGCTGGTATAAATCATAGTCATGCATATTCAATATTGCTTGATGGATCTACAAGTCAGGTTGGAAGGTCTGGAGTTTAGACTATGACTCCTAGGATCTGATCCTGCAGTCTTTACTCACACATTAATTCAATGGATTACTGTCATGAGTAAGAGTTGTAAAATCAAGCCACGTTGGTATCTTCCTCAGTGAATATTGCTGTTACTAATTCATATTTACCTACTGAAAATCATCATAAAGGACAAACTTACCTTTTTATGGGTCTTCATGGCCTATCACTTATAAACCATCAAGATGCCCATCCCTACAAACACTCTTCTAATGAAGCCAACATTGATTGCCATTTGCAAATTTTTCAACAAGCATCTTTGCATTTTTTCCTGTACTATACCTACTGGACAGGGCCTACCCGGTGTAAAAATCCCAAAAGCTATTCACTATCCTCTTAAAATAATTTAAATCCTACCTATGCCACGTTACTTTGTTAGATCAAGTGGCAGAGTTCTGGGTGGTGGAGCTAAAGGTTCTAACCTTGCTGATACCCTTGTCGATGTCAGCAAAGGGGCCACATGGTGGAATTTCCATATTTTCAGTCACTTTTTTTTAAAACCTAGTCAATTATGTACACTAAAATATGTTAAAAGAACATTACAGTTGCAAAGGGAAGCAGTGAAAAGTTAGGAAATGCCACTATTAAGTTTGCATGTGCAACCTTATTTCAGCCCCTTTGTGCATATGCATTATGATACAGCCATTAATTACATGATGACATACTATTTTTATTACAGGACCCCTGACTAATCCAGTGTACAGATGATGCCCAATTTTTTCTCATTAGTTCATTGTGTGGACCCATGCCTTATTTACTAAATAAAATTCAAACCCTAACCTTAAGAAAGAATTTCCTCATGGGCATTTCTATGGTACTCATCACTATAGTATTTGAATACTTCACACACATTAGTTAATTTATTTCCACAACAGCCCTGTTGTCACAGGAAGGCTGTGTACCCAAAACATGAACACAAAATTAATGGCTATCTGTGAAAAGTTTGGTTTAAGCGACTTGCCCAACATCACAATTCTGTGGCCAAGTCCAATTTCCAGGGCAGCATTCAACTAACATAACATGAGACCATCCTTTCTCTTCCTGCAATCCTGCCTCATTCATTAAATTCACCTCATTCATCACCTTTCAACTTCTGCAACAAATGAGGTAGGGGATCCTTCAGACAACACTGATTCTCCCCAGAGTAGGTCTATTCTGTGCACAGAATAAAGAAAGGGGCCTCATTGCAGTAGGGTGAGAACTGGATTTTATTTTCAGCTTCTTTTCCCATTTCAAAATGTAATGAAAACAAAACACTTCAAAATTTCCCAGAAAAATTAAATTAAAAAAAATTGTTCTGGGCTGATCAAAATATTTTAATACAATTTAAATATTTTTTCTGATTTTGAATTTTTAAGCTTCAAAAAAGCATATATAAAACCAATTTTTTTGAAAAGTTGTTTCAAAACAAAAAAGTGAGATGTTACATTCTGAAAATGTTGAAAGGGATAGTTTGATATTAAAGTATTTCATTTTTTCTGAATTAAATTTTGTGAAATCAACATTGCTAAACATCAATTTTGACATAAACAGCATTTCTCATTGAGAAACTATTTCAACAAAAAAAATTCCAGCCAGCTCTAGTCCTGAGGAAAATAAGTAGTATATGATCAGCTAATTAAAAACTGTATCATAATACATACTTATACAAAAAGAGGGCCAAATTAAGCTTGCATAGGTACTGGTAGTTTAATTTACTTCCATTTTGCTTTCTTTAACCTATTCTATTGTTTTCTCATTCTGTTTTAGTATTTTTACTTCTCTTCCGCTCTCTTCCCCCCTTCACTTTCTCCAGAACCAATTCCTCTGTCTGTTGCTCACATATCCTTCTGTCCGGCTCCTTCCTCGTCCTTGTCTGGGTTTTCCTCTTATTTCTTCCCCGGGAGACACCATAACCTCTCTCTCTTTCTGATTCACTTAGCTTAGGGAGGCAAACTGTGACAGCGTTTGAGAACCCCTGCCCTCGAAGAACAGCCATAAAGTGTAGGTAGTAACAAGAAGCTACACCAAAATGGTTGCAACGTGGCCAAGCCACTGTTTCTGGTGAGAGAATAGGAGCACAGAGGTAGAGGCTGCCTGTAGGAAAGTCTCAAACTCCACAGGGCTGTGATTCCTACTAGGTTCCTGATCCTATATGGAGAACTGTGACAGCATGGAAGTACAGGATGCATTAGCTTGAAGACCCACTGATTTCATTGGGGTTCCATGAAGGCATGTGCCTGGAGGGTCCTCAATTCAGGATTGGGGCCTGACTTTCCAGGCCCACCCTTTTCTATACTGCATTCCCACTGATAAGTTGGTGACAATGCGATAGGGGTAGAATAACCCATCAAGTATGTTTGACTTCATGGGACTACTGACATGGGTAAAGTTAAAGCACATTTGTGTTTGCAGGCTCAGGGCTATAAAATTCTCAACCAAATCACCTCTTCCTTCCAGTTTACACATCTGTAATACATACATAATAAATACTTTAGTCCAAACCCTGAAATCAATTAGAGTTAGATACCTAAATACCTTTGAGGATCTGGGCCTTCCTTCCTTCCACTGATTGTTTGCTCAATTTTTTTTTGATCTCTGAATGAGAGCTGCTCTTAAATTGTAAAGTATTGTTATTACTCAGGTTGTGATATTAGTAAATCATTTAGATCTATCCCTTACAACTGATATAAATGTTTAGCTGACATTTACTCAGCTATTTATATCTTTCAAAGATACTGTTTGTAACAGACAATGAAAAGGGTTGCATGTTATAAGGCTTCTGAAATATATTTTTCTGCTCATTTCCACAGCAATGAAAGTATAAAATTCCATTATGCAAACTCAATTTAACTAAATAGGCTCAAAGGAGAAAAGTACTTAACTGAGCATGCAGGTGATATAAAATCATGGAAGATTAGGGTGGGAAGACACCTCAGGAGGTCATCTAGTCCAATCCCCTGCTCAAAGCAGGGCCAACCCCAACTAAATCATCCCAGCAAGGGTTGTGTCAAGTCGGGCCTTAAAAACCTCTAAGGATGGAGATTCCACCACCTCCCTAGATAACCCATTCCAGTACTTCACTACCCTCCTGGTGAAAGACTGTTTTCTAATATCCAACCTAGACCTCCCCCACTGCAACTTGAGACCATTGCTTCTTGTTTGGTCATCTGCCACCACTAAGAACAGCCGAGCTACAACCTCTTTGGACCCCCCCTTCAGGTAGTTGAAGGCTGCTATCAAATGCCCCCTCGTTCTTCTCTTCTGCAGACTAAACCAGCCCAGTCCCCTCAGCCTCTTCTTGCAAGTCATGTGCCCCAGCCCCCTGATCATTTCCATTGCCCTTCGCTGGACTCTCTCCAATTTGTCCACATCCCTTCTGTATTGAGGGGACCAAAACTGGATGCAATACTCCAGATGTGGCCTCACCAGTGCCAAACAGAGGGGAATAATCACTTCCCTAGATCTGCTAGCAATGCTCCTACTAATACAGCCCAATATGCCATTAGCCTTCTTGGCAACAAGGGCACACTGCTGACTCATATCCAGCTTCTCGTTCCCTGTAATTCCCATGTTGCCGGCACCCAGTGCCGAGAGGCTGAACAACAGCTTGAGTGGTTCGTTACCCGGTGTGCTACACCCAATAATCACAACGGGGTGGAGAAGCAGAAAAGTTTATTTGCAGCTGCAAAAAGGTACAGGGAGAATAAAATCTCAAATCCTGCACAACAGAGCAGGAAGTTACACAGGCTTTTATACATCCTTTTTCCCAGCATACTTATCCAATAGCAAGCTGCTCCAAGTATCCATATAGCCAGCCAATCCAGTTCCCAGCTAGTTCCCTGATTCTCTGTATCATTTGTTAAACTATACATAAAGCTGCTTTATTCAGCATTGTTCTTCCATATCTGTCCTGTTTGGCCTTGCTTAGTTTCAGGCAGTCTGACTCTGCAACATACTGTTGCAGATTCTCAGCATAACTGCTGTGTGCGCCTCCAGGCGGGGGGGCCAAGGACACTTGGGCCTAGTACGCAGAGCTGCTGCGAGTGCCTCCAGGCACGAGGGGGGGCCAAGGACACCGGGGCCTAGTGCGAGGGGGCTTCATCGACACTCGTGGTCTTCCATCCCCTCGAGTTACCTAGTGGCCATGCCCCAGTGTTCCCAACAACTCCCCCTTTGAGAACACTCAACAGCCTTGGCTCTGAGTTTTCTCACTTGGGCTTGCTACATTGGAGATATTAACTGGACGGCAAGTTACATTTTCAAACCCCTTTTTTGTGGTAAGATTATTTGTAAGTGTTTCCCTAAAAGGGGAGGAACCATTACACCCACATTGCTGGCCTCGCCTTTTGGTCTTTATCCAATACCCATCAGCCCACTGTGTAATAACACAGGAGCTCTTTCCCACAAGATGCCCATAGGGATCAGATTGGTTTCGGGTAAAACATAACACTCCCTCAGTGAGTACTGCAACTGAATACTCCTGGTCCTGATAGGTGGCCTGCTGTAAAGAGGTCTTGTTCCAGAACGGTGAGTCCGTTCTTTCCTGCTCTTTGGTGGTGGCTAATTCTGCTAGGGTCAAGGGCAGCATGTCAAGGGGCATTCCCGTTTTGGGGGATAGTGGAGTTGGAGCACACACCCAGCAATCAGTCTGGTTTGTTAAAGTAGCAACATGGTGCGCAAGCAAAACAAAGGAGTTATGCTCCCGATATGCACCATTTGGAAATACCAATACAAAGAATAACAATGTTACCCAATTAATTATTACCAGAGTCTTCCCAACCCAGGGTCTCCAGTACCTGGGTGGGCCCATTTTAGCATTAAGGTGCCCGCTATTTGTGTCTTTTAAACAGTAGCTTTAGCCCGAGATCGTCACTAGATGAGGAGTCAGCAGGTTGGACGGTCCACTGTTCTGCTGACGAGGGGGCGGGTACTGCCTTCAGACGAGAGTGATGGATCCAGTTCTTCTGTCCCTCGATCTTTGCCGCTGTATGGGAGATCAGCAGGACGGTATAGGGTCCTTTCCACTTTTCCTGGAGAGGCTCGTCTTTCCAGGTGCGAACAAGCACGGAGTCACCGGGCTGTAAGGAGTGAACGGGAGAGTCCAAGGGGAGAGGCTGGGAATCCTTGGTATACCTGTGAAGAGACAAGAGAACAGCAGACAGGGAACACATATACTGTGACAAAAAAACATTACCCAACTCCCATTCCCCTGACAGAACCGGGGTGCCATTCATGGGCCATGCCCTTCCAAACATAATTTCAAAGGGACTGAGCCCTAATCTACCCTTTGGGAGAACGCGGGTACGGAGTAGGACGAGGGGCAAAGCATCAGGCCATCGCAGTGAGGGTTCTTGGCACACTTTTGAGAGATGCTGTTTAAGGGTCTGATTGGTACGCTCCACTACACCACTGGCTTGCGGTCTCCAGGGCGTATGGAGTTTCCAGGGGATCTGTAAGGCATGTGAGATGCTTTGAATGATTTTTGACGTGAAGTGTGTCCCGTTGTCAGATTCCATCCACAGGGGGAGTCCAAAGCGAGGAATGAGCTCCTTAACAAACTTGAGGGCCACTGTCCTGGCAGTGCAGTTACGGCATGGGAAGGCTTCTGGCCATCCGCTGAACCGATCCACTATAACAAGGAGATATTTGAACCCTTGGGTTCGGGGAAACTCAGTAAAGTCTATTTGCCACACTTGTCCGGGGCCCGGAGTGGGTTCTAGGGCAGCTGGTGGCACAGGATGTCCCGGTCGGGGGTTAGTCTTTTGGCAGACTAAGCAGTCCGCTTGTACCTGGGCAGCCAGGGGTCAGAGTCCGGAAGTGATAAAGTATTTTCCCATTAGTTGGATAAGTGCTTCCCTGCCAGCATGAGTGGTTTGATGTAGTTTCTGCAGCACTGGCCGGATTAGGCCCTTTGGTAAGAGGACCTTCCCTTCTGGGGAATGGAGCCATCCCTCCTTTTCCCGGAGACTGAGTTTGTCAGTTAGCTGTCTCTCCTCCCCAGAGTACTGAGGGGTTGGAAGCTCCCCTACTGATGGGATAAGGGCATGCATATGGGCGTTCTCAGCCTGAGGGGATGGCAGGGTGGCAGCATGCTTAGCCTCTCTATCTGCCCGGGCGTTACCTCTGGCCACATCTTGATCCTCCCTTTGATGGGCTTTACAGTGTACCACCGCCACTTCCGAGGGGAGTTGTACAGCTTCTAGGAGCTGGAGGATTTGGGGCCCGTACTTGACTGGGGAGCCTTGGGCTGTCAGCGTTCCCCTTTGCTTCCATAGGCCAGCAGGAGCATGCAGCACACCAAAAGCATACTTTGAATCAGTAAAAATGTTGACCCGCTTTCCTTTTGACAGTTCAAGTGCACGGGTCAGGGCTATTAGTTCGGCAAGCTGGGCAGAGGTCCCAGCAGGCAAACCTTCAGCTTCCACAGTGTCATGGAGGGTCACAACAGCATAACCCGCCCTCCTTTGCCCATCTATTACAGTACTGCTACCATCAGTGTACCACTCATAATCTGCATTTGGGAGAGGTACATCCTTTAAATCCGGACGGCTGGAGTACTGGACATCTATGATCTCTAAACAGTCATGTTTCTGTTCCTCTGTTTCTGGCAAGAGAGTGGCTGGGTTAAGGGAGGGGCAAGGCTGTAGGGTGACTTCAGAGTTCTCTAACAGCTTAGCCTGGTACCGAGCAATCCGAGCCTGGGTGAGCCAAAGCCCTCCCTTTGCATCCAATAAGGCTCGGACCATATGGGGAGTATAGATTTGCATAACCCCTCCCAATGTTAGCTTCTCGGCTTCCTCAAGCAATAGGGCAGTAGCTGCGACCGCCCGTAAACATGCCGGCCAACCCTTTGCAACCTGATCCAGTTGCTTAGAAAAATAAGCCACAGGACGCTTCCATGCTCCTAACAGCTGTGTAAGCACTCCTAGCGCCACCCCCCTTCGTTCATGTACATACAACTGAAACGGCTTAGAGAGATCTGGCAGGCCCAGAGCCGGGGCTTCCATCAATTTTCTTTTCAGGATTTTAAATGCCCTATCAGCCTCTGGGGTCCAATAGAAGGGGTCATGATCTGCTCCTTTTACACAGTCGTCCAGGGGTTTAGCCCACAGTCCAAACTCTGGGATCCATATCCTGCAAAAGCCTGCCATACCCAGAAATGCCCTGAGCCGCTTACAGTTACTTGGGGTAGGAACTTGACAGATAGCTTCCTTTCTTTTGCTTGAAAGCTGACGCTCCCCTTGCCTTAGCTGTAACCTGATCCCTCTCCACCTCAGACAACAGGGTTCTCAGGAGGACGTTACAATCATCCCAGTCCGGCTTGTGACTACTGAGGCACCCCTCAATGACTGATATAAACCTGCTTGGGTTGGTGGAAAACTCTCCTGCCTGTGCTTTGAAAGCTGCTAAGTCTATTGGATTGAATGGCATATGGATGTAAACTTGCATAGTGGTAGCCTGACGTCCATCTGCCCCTGGGCAAGCCACAACAGTCTCGGTAAGCAAAGGATAGAGTCCCACCGAGGGGGCAATCTCTGTAACCCGAGGCATCCTACCCTTATAAGGTGGGGGTGTGGGGGCCGAAGGGGACACCGGCTCTGCCATTACAGTGGGGGTGGGGGTCTGGGGACTAACATTAGCTGCTACCGAACCAGTTGGAGTCAGATTACAGCGCTGTAAAATATCTGGTCGAGTACATAAAGTCAGAAACAAATGCGCATACATATGTTCATTCCATTTCCTTGTTCTCTGACAGAACAGGAGTAACTGAAGGATCGTGTTGTAATTAATTGACCCTCCTGGTGGCCACCACTCCTGGTCCTCTAGTTGATATTGAGGCCAGTCAACTGTACAGAATCGTTTTAATTGGCTCTTAGTCATCGGATCCGCACCAAATACCTTCCAGTTTGCTAGAATGCACTCTAGGGGCGTACACCGTGCCCTAACCTCTGAGCTCTGTCCCTGTCCCATACCTACAGGGTAACTCTGGGCGTCCCCAGGTTCCAACAGAGCATATAATCCGGATTTTAAAAGGATCCTACCTTATCCAAGGGACCGGTTCTTCACCGCCGTCCTGTAGCTGCTGCTCCCCCACGTCTAAGGGACCGGTTCTTCACCGCCGTCCACAACAGCTTCTCCACTATATGAGTGCGTTGCACCGTTGTGCCCTCTGGGGTCGATCAAATCGCGTCTCCTCCGAGGCCCCCGATGAACTCACCGGTGCGCGCTGGGCGTCGGTTCTTGTCGCAATCCTCGACCTCCAGGAGGGGTCCGGGCAAGGCTAAATTGCAGCCTCGTCGCCCACCCAGGGACGCCAAAAGCTGTTGCCGGCACCCAGTGCCGAGAGGCTGAACAACAGCTTGAGTGGTTCGTTACCCGGTGTGCTACACCCAATAATCACAACGGGGTGGAGAAGCAGAAAAGTTTATTTGCAGCTGCAAAAAGGTACAGGGAGAATAAAATCTCAAATCCTGCACAACAGAGCAGGAAGTTACACAGGCTTTTATACATCCTTTTTCCCAGCATACTTATCCAATAGCAAGCTGCTCCAAGTATCCATATAGCCAGCCAATCCAGTTCCCAGCTAGTTCCCTGATTCTCTGTATCATTTGTTCAACTATACATAAAGCTGCTTTATTCAGCATTGTTCTTCCATATCTGTCCTGTTTGGCCTTGCTTAGTTTCAGGCAGTCTGACTCTGCAACATACTGTTGCAGATTCTCAGCATAACTGCTGTGTGCGCCTCCAGGCGGGGGGGCCAAGGACACTTGGGCCTAGTACGCAGAGCTGCTGCGAGTGCCTCCAGGCACGAGGGGGGGCCAAGGACACCGGGGCCTAGTGCGAGGGGGCTTCATCGACACTCGTGGTCTTCCATCCCCTCGAGTTACCTAGTGGCCATGCCCCAGTGTTCCCAACAACTCCCCCCTTTGAGAACACTCAACAGCCTTGGCTCTGAGTTTTCTCACTTGGGCTTGCTACATTGGAGATATTAACTGGACGGCAAGTTACATTTTCAAACCCCTTTTTTGTGGTAAGATTATTTGTAAGTGTTTCCCTAAAAGGGGAGGAACCATTACACCCACATTGCTGGCCTCGCCTTTTGGTCTTTATCCAATACCCATCAGCCCACTGTGTAATAACACAGGAGCTCTTTCCCACAAGATGCCCATAGGGATCAGATTGGTTTCGGGTAAAACATAACACTCCCTCAGTGAGTACTGCAACTGAATACTCCTGGTCCTGATAGGTGGCCTGCTGTAAAGAGGTCTTGTTCCAGAACGGTGAGTCCGTTCTTTCCTGCTCTTTGGTGGTGGCTAATTCTGCTAGGGTCAAGGGCAGCATGTCAAGGGGCATTCCCGTTTTGGGGGATAGTGGAGTTGGAGCACACACCCAGCAATCAGTCTGGTTTGTTAAAGTAGCAACATGGTGCGCAAGCAAAACAAAGGAGTTATGCTCCCGATATGCACCATTTGGAAATACCAATACAAAGAATAACAATGTTACCCAATTAATTATTACCAGAGTCTTCCCAACCCAGGGTCTCCAGTACCTGGGTGGGCCCATTTTAGCATTAAGGTGCCCGCTATTTGTGTCTTTTAAACAGTAGCTTTAGCCCGAGATCGTCACTAGATGAGGAGTCAGCAGGTTGGACGGTCCACTGTTCTGCTGACGAGGGGGCGGGTACTGCCTTCAGACGAGAGTGATGGATCCAGTTCTTCTGTCCCTCGATCTTTGCCGCTGTATGGGAGATCAGCAGGACGGTATAGGGTCCTTTCCACTTTTCCTGGAGAGGCTCGTCTTTCCAGGTGCGAACAAGCACGGAGTCACCGGGCTGTAAGGAGTGAACGGGAGAGTCCAAGGGGAGAGGCTGGGAATCCTTGGTATACCTGTGAAGAGACAAGAGAACAGCAGACAGGGAACACATATACTGTGACAAAAAAACATTACCCAACTCCCATTCCCCTGACAGAACCGGGGTGCCATTCATGGGCCATGCCCTTCCAAACATAATTTCAAAGGGACTGAGCCCTAATCTACCCTTTGGGAGAACGCGGGTACGGAGTAGGACGAGGGGCAAAGCATCAGGCCATCGCAGTGAGGGTTCTTGGCACACTTTTGAGAGATGCTGTTTAAGGGTCTGATTGGTACGCTCCACTACACCACTGGCTTGCGGTCTCCAGGGCGTATGGAGTTTCCAGGGGATCTGTAAGGCATGTGAGATGCTTTGAATGATTTTTGACGTGAAGTGTGTCCCGTTGTCAGATTCCATCCACAGGGGGAGTCCAAAGCGAGGAATGAGCTCCTTAACAAACTTGAGGGCCACTGTCCTGGCAGTGCAGTTACGGCATGGGAAGGCTTCTGGCCATCCGCTGAACCGATCCACTATAACAAGGAGATATTTGAACCCTTGGGTTCGGGGAAACTCAGTAAAGTCTATTTGCCACACTTGTCCGGGGCCCGGAGTGGGTTCTAGGGCAGCTGGTGGCACAGGATGTCCCGGTCGGGGGTTAGTCTTTTGGCAGACTAAGCAGTCCGCTTGTACCTGGGCAGCCAGGGGTCAGAGTCCGGAAGTGATAAAGTATTTTCCCATTAGTTGGATAAGTGCTTCCCTGCCAGCATGAGTGGTTTGATGTAGTTTCTGCAGCACTGGCCGGATTAGGCCCTTTGGTAAGAGGACCTTCCCTTCTGGGGAATGGAGCCATCCCTCCTTTTCCCGGAGACTGAGTTTGTCAGTTAGCTGTCTCTCCTCCCCAGAGTACTGAGGGGTTGGAAGCTCCCCTACTGATGGGATAAGGGCATGCATATGGGCGTTCTCAGCCTGAGGGGATGGCAGGGTGGCAGCATGCTTAGCCTCTCTATCTGCCCGGGCGTTACCTCTGGCCACATCTTGATCCTCCCTTTGATGGGCTTTACAGTGTACCACCGCCACTTCCGAGGGGAGTTGTACAGCTTCTAGGAGCTGGAGGATTTGGGGCCCGTACTTGACTGGGGAGCCTTGGGCTGTCAGCGTTCCCCTTTGCTTCCATAGGCCAGCAGGAGCATGCAGCACACCAAAAGCATACTTTGAATCAGTAAAAATGTTGACCCGCTTTCCTTTTGACAGTTCAAGTGCACGGGTCAGGGCTATTAGTTCGGCAAGCTGGGCAGAGGTCCCAGCAGGCAAACCTTCAGCTTCCACAGTGTCATGGAGGGTCACAACAGCATAACCCGCCCTCCTTTGCCCATCTATTACAGTACTGCTACCATCAGTGTACCACTCATAATCTGCATTTGGGAGAGGTACATCCTTTAAATCCGGACGGCTGGAGTACTGGACATCTATGATCTCTAAACAGTCATGTTTCTGTTCCTCTGTTTCTGGCAAGAGAGTGGCTGGGTTAAGGGAGGGGCAAGGCTGTAGGGTGACTTCAGAGTTCTCTAACAGCTTAGCCTGGTACCGAGCAATCCGAGCCTGGGTGAGCCAAAGCCCTCCCTTTGCATCCAATAAGGCTCGGACCATATGGGGAGTATAGATTTGCATAACCCCTCCCAATGTTAGCTTCTCGGCTTCCTCAAGCAATAGGGCAGTAGCTGCGACCGCCCGTAAACATGCCGGCCAACCCTTTGCAACCTGATCCAGTTGCTTAGAAAAATAAGCCACAGGACGCTTCCATGCTCCTAACAGCTGTGTAAGCACTCCTAGCGCCACCCCCCTTCGTTCATGTACATACAACTGAAACGGCTTAGAGAGATCTGGCAGGCCCAGAGCCGGGGCTTCCATCAATTTTCTTTTCAGGATTTTAAATGCCCTATCAGCCTCTGGGGTCCAATAGAAGGGGTCATGATCTGCTCCTTTTACACAGTCGTCCAGGGGTTTAGCCCACAGTCCAAACTCTGGGATCCATATCCTGCAAAAGCCTGCCATACCCAGAAATGCCCTGAGCCGCTTACAGTTACTTGGGGTAGGAACTTGACAGATAGCTTCCTTTCTTTTGCTTGAAAGCTGACGCTCCCCTTGCCTTAGCTGTAACCTGATCCCTCTCCACCTCAGACAACAGGGTTCTCAGGAGGACGTTACAATCATCCCAGTCCGGCTTGTGACTACTGAGGCACCCCTCAAAGACTGATATAAACCTGCTTGGGTTGGTGGAAAACTCTCCTGCCTGTGCTTTGAAAGCTGCTAAGTCTATTGGATTGAATGGCACATGGATGTAAACTTGCATAGCGGTAGCCTGACGTCCATCTGCCCCTGGGCAAGCCACAACAGTCTCGGTAAGCAAAGGATAGAGTCCCACCGAGGGGGCAATCTCTGTAACCCGAGGCATCCTACCCTTATAAGGTGGGGGTGTGGGGGCCGAAGGGGACACCGGCTCTGCCATTACAGTGGGGGTGGGGGTCTGGGGACTAACATTAGCTGCTACCGAACCAGTTGGAGTCAGATTACAGCGCTGTAAAATATCTGGTCGAGTACATAAAGTCAGAAACAAATGCGCATACATATGTTCATTCCATTTCCTTGTTCTCTGACAGAACAGGAGTAACTGAAGGATCGTGTTGTAATTAATTGACCCTCCTGGTGGCCACCACTCCTGGTCCTCTAGTTGATATTGAGGCCAGTCAACTGTACAGAATCGTTTTAATTGGCTCTTAGTCATCGGATACCTTCCAGTTTGCTAGAATGCACTCTAGGGGCGTACACCGTGCCCTAACCTCTGAGCTCTGTCCCTGTCCCATACCTACAGGGTAACTCTGGGCGTCCCCAGGTTCCAACAGAGCATATAATCCGGATTTTAAAAGGATCCTACCTTATCCAAGGGACCGGTTCTTCACCGCCGTCCTGTAGCTGCTGCTCCCCCACGTCTAAGGGACCGGTTCTTCACCGCCGTCCACAACAGCTTCTCCACTATATGAGTGCGTTGCACCGTTGTGCCCTCTGGGGTCGATCAAATCGCGTCTCCTCCGAGGCCCCCGATGAACTCACCGGTGCGCGCTGGGCGTCGGTTCTTGTCGCAATCCTCGACCTCCAGGAGGGGTCCGGGCAAGGCTAAATTGCAGCCTCGTCGCCCACCCAGGGACGCCAAAAGCTGTTGCCGGCACCCAGTGCCGAGAGGCTGAACAACAGCTTGAGTGGTTCGTTACCCGGTGTGCTACACCCAATAATCACAACGGGGTGGAGAAGCAGAAAAGTTTATTTGCAGCTGCAAAAAGGTACAGGGAGAATAAAATCTCAAATCCTGCACAACAGAGCAGGAAGTTACACAGGCTTTTATACATCCTTTTTCCCAGCATACTTATCCAATAGCAAGCTGCTCCAAGTATCCATATAGCCAGCCAATCCAGTTCCCAGCTAGTTCCCTGATTCTCTGTATCATTTGTTAAACTATACATAAAGCTGCTTTATTCAGCATTGTTCTTCCATATCTGTCCTGTTTGGCCTTGCTTAGTTTCAGGCAGTCTGACTCTGCAACATACTGTTGCAGATTCTCAGCATAACTGCTGTGTGCGCCTCCAGGCGGGGGGGCCAAGGACACTTGGGCCTAGTACGCAGAGCTGCTGCGAGTGCCTCCAGGCACGAGGGGGGGCCAAGGACACCGGGGCCTAGTGCGAGGGGGCTTCATCGACACTCGTGGTCTTCCATCCCCTCGAGTTACCTAGTGGCCATGCCCCAGTGTTCCCAACACCCAGGTCCATTTCTGCAGAACTACTGCTTAGCCAGTCAGTCCCCATAGTGTAGCGGTGCATGGGATTCTTACATCCTAAGTGCAGAGTCCTGCACTTGTACTTGTTGAACCTCATTAGATTTCTTTTGGTCCAATCCTCCAATTTGTCTAGGTCACTCTGGACCCTATTCCTACTCTACAGCGTATCTACCTCTCCTCCCCCCAGCTTAGTGTCTTCCGCAAACTTGCTGAGGGTGCAATTCATCCCGTCATCCAGATCATAAATAAAGATGTTGAACAAAACCAGCCCCAGGACTAACCCCTGGGGCACTCCGCTTGATACTGGCTGCCAACTAGATATCCAGTCGTTGATCACTACCCGTTGAGCCCAACAATCTAGCCAGCTTTCTATCCACCCATCTTTATGTTGCACAATTCAAAGAGACAAACAGAAATTTCATAGATTAACACAAGAATGCAAGTGATTTTCTGTACTGTGGCATCACGGCTAAGTAATCCTGAGAAAAGCGAACTCTGCAGCCCAGATATTTAATCAGCTTCTGGGCAGCTCGCTACTAACCAACACATTGCTGCAAAATGGAACCTGAAAGGAAAAAAGGAAAAAGCAATCCCAAACATTTCTGAAGCCACTGATTTCTAAAAACCAATTCAAATCCAAATCAATTCAAACTCAAATCAAATGGATTTACATGACAACAGGTTCACTTTTCTTCATTCATAATGCACCCTGCTAACAATTTTTGACAAATTGGATAGATTTTTATCCAAAAGGTATAAACAAGTGATTTATCATTTCATTCCTCAAATAAAGTGTTGTGGATATAAGGATTTAAATTTTAACTTTCATTTATTTTAAGCAGACCCTTTAACATTCTGATTAAAAATAAACAAACAAAAAAAAACCCTTGCATTTGAACTTCTCACTTATCACCTTTTAATATCTTAAAAACCACTTGTAGAAATCTAGATTACCAACAGCCTGGCCTTATGGTAGAAAACTCAGGTTTTGATATTCTAATCTCCAATACTATTGTCCATTTCTAATTAGTCTCCGATTAAGGCCTTAATCCCACAAAACCCCTTAACTTTACAGCTGTCAGCAGTACTATCAAAGTGAGTGGAACTACTCAGAGAGTCTAAAGTTAAAGCACGTGCACTCCGTATTCCCTCACCAAAAACAGTGGCTTGGCCAAGTTGCAGCCATGTTGGTATTAGCTTCTTGCCAGCTCCTCCATCATATGCCCAGTCTCCTAGGGCAGGGGCCGCTTTCAAACTTGGTCCTAGCGGGCATCCCTCAGCTAAGAAAAAAATAAAAACAGTGGTGCTGCTCCCGACAGGTTACTAACACAAGGACCTAGAAATGCGCTACTTTGCAAGAATAGGAGTAATGGAGTAGAATGGCTGTGATCAATCTGAAACGTACAAGAAACACACACGTGGGGGCTCCTCCTCCCTTTTACTTCTTATTCGTGGGGGAAAGACCCTTCCCTCAACACCTTCCCCTACCCATGCTCCTGTGCAGCCCCCACCCAGGGGCCTCACTACAGCTCCTCCGTCTTCGCTCTGCCCCCTGCCCTACTTTAGCTCTCTCCCGCCCAGGGTGCAGCCCCTGCCCAGCTCCCACCCCGGAGCGCTGTCTGTTCCCGGCAACGGGCTCAACCTTTTGCACAGCTCTCCCCTCCCAGGACGCTGCCCCCTGCCGCTGCCCAGCTCCCTCTCCAGCAGGCTGCTCCGTCTGCCCCCAGCACAGGGGCGCCCACGCACCCAGCTCCCTGCCCTTCGCCCCGCCTCACCTCTGTCTCCCCCGTTCCCTGGTGCCGGGGGACACGGAAAGGGGCGAGCAACTGCTGCCTCGAGCTGCTGCACCGTTTACACGGGCTCCGGCTCCGGCTCCGGCCCCCCTCTCTCTCTCTCTCTCTCTCTACAGGAGTCCGCTGCAAGCCCTGAAGCGACCTTTAGGGCGGGTAGTAGCAGCCCCGGCAGGCCTATGATATCAATACAGTATAGCTCAGCCACACCCACTGCGCGGCCAGGGTGGGGAAACGGATAAACAACGCCGCCTCTGTTTGACAGCGGCCGTTGTAGGGGTTGCGGAGCGTGGGCGACACATAATGGTGCTTGGGGCAGCATGCACTTTTGGCCTTCTTGCTGTATCAATACTTTGGTGTCACCTGTTAAGCAGCTTTTAAGGGAACGCTGCTCTACTGTTCCTATTCTTCTGCCTTTGCTCTCCAACCTAGTGCAGCGATGCAACCGTAGTGAGCCCTCCAAAGGTCCATTTCTCAATGTAAAACCATTGGGTTCCCTGAACCATAGGCTTCCTTTGTAACCTGGCTCCCCCTACCCTAGACCCCCCCAACCCAGAAACCTCTTCTCAGCCATGATCTCCTAGGTAGTGTTGCCGGCACCCAGTGCGGAGAGGCTGAACAACAGCTTGAGTGGTTCGTTACCCGGTGTGCTACACCCAATAATCACAAGGGGGTGGAGAAGCAGAAAAGTTTATTTGCAGCTGCAAAAAGGTACAGGGAGAATAAAATCTCAAATCCTGCACAACAGAGCAGGAAGTTACACAGGCTTTTATACATCCTTTTATCCAGCATACTTGTCCAATAGCAAGCTGCCCCAAGTATCCATATAGCGAGCCAATCCAGTTCCCAGCTAGTTCCCTGATTATCTGTATCATTTGTTAAGCTATACATAAAGCTGCTTTATTCAGCATTGTTCTTCCATATCTCCCCTGTTTGGCCTTGCTTAGTTTCAGGCAGTCTGACTCTGCAACATATTGTTGCAGATTCTCAGCATAACTGCTGTGTGTGCCTTAGCTGTAACCTGATCCCTCTCCACCTCAGACAACAGGGTTTTCAGGAGGATATTACAGTGGTCTCAATCGGCTTGTGACTACTGAGGCACCCCTCAAAGACTGAAATAAACCTGCTTGCATTCGTTGAGAATTCCCCAGTCTGTGTTTTAAAAGCTGCTAAGTCTATTGGATTGAACGGCACACGGGTGTAAACTTGCATAGTGGTAGCCTGACGTCCATCTGCCCCTGGGCAAGCCACAACAGTCTCGGTAAGCAAAGGATAGAGGGGGCAATCTCTATAACCCGAGGCATCCTACCCTTATACGGTGGGGGTGTGGGGGCCGAAGGGGACACCGGCTCTGCCATTACAGTGGGGGTGGGAGTCTGGGGACTAACATTAGCTGCTACCGAACCAGTCGGAGTCAGATTACAGTGCTGTAAAATATCTGGTCGAGTACATAAAGTCAGAAACAAATGCGCATACATATGTTCATTCCATTTCCTTGTTCTCTGACAGAACAGGAGTAACTGAAGGATCGTGTTGTAATTAATTGACCCTCCTGGTGGCCACCACTCCTGGTCCTCTAGTTGATATTGAGGCCAGTCAACTGTACAGAATCGTTTTAATTGGCTCTTAGTCATCGGATCCACACCAAATACCTTCCAGTTTGCTAGAATGCACTCTAGGGGCGTACACCGTGCCCTAACCTCTGAGCTCTGTCCCTGTCCCATACCTACAGGGTAACTCTGGGCGTCCCCAGGTTCCAACAGAGCATATAATCCGGATTTTAAAAGGTTCCTACCTTATCCAAAGGACCGGTTCTTCACCGTGGCCTGCAGCTGCTCCTCCCCCATGTCTAAGGGACCGGTTCTTCACCGCCGTCCACAACAGCTTCTCCACTATATGAGTGTGTTGCACCGTTGTGCCCTCTGGGGTCGATCAAATCGCGTCTCTTCCGAGGCCCCCGATGAACTCACCGGTGCGCGCTGGGCGTCGGTTCTCGCTGCAATCCTCGACCTCCAGGAGGGGCCCGGGCAAGGCTAAATTGCAGCCTCGTCGCCCACCCAGGGACGCCAAAAGCTGTTGCCGGCACCCAGTGCCGAGAGGCTGAACAACAGCTTGAGTGGTTCGTTACCCGGTGTGCTACACCCAATAATCACAACGGGGTGGAGAAGCAGAAAAGTTTATTTGCAGCTGCAAAAAGGTACAGGGAGAATAAAATCTCCAACAGAGCAGGAAGTTACACAGGCTTTTATACATCCTTTTTTTCCAGCACACTTGTCCAATAGCAAGCTGCCCCAAGTATCCATATAGCCAGCCAATCCAGTCCCCAGCTAGTTCCCTGATTATCTGTATCATTTGTTAAACTATACATAAAGCTGCTTTATTCAGCATTGTTCTTCCATATCTCCCCTGTTTGGCCTTGCTTAGTTTCAGGCAGTCTGACTCTGCAACATACTGTTGCAGATTCTCAGCATAACTGCTGTGTGTGCCTCCAGGTGGGGGGGAGGGAGGGGAAGGACACTTTGGCCTAGTACGCAGAGCTGCTGCGAGTGCCTCCAGGCAGGAGGGGGGGGGGGGGGGGCAAGGACACCGGGGCCTAGTGCGAGGGGGCTTCATCGACACTCGTGGTCTTCCATCCCCTCGAGTTACCTAGTGGCCATGCCCCAGTGTTCCCAACAGTAGCCTCTCTCAGCCTCTTTCCACTTATCTCCACCAGCCCCCCACTCGCTCCGCCTCTCTCTCCACCAGCCTGAAATCATTAAAGGGTGAAACAGAGAGATTATAAAAACCAACAAGGAGTCCTCATGGGATTTTAAAGACTAACAGGTTTATTTGGACATAAACGTTCCTGGGTAGAAAAAACACTTCTTCAGATGTTTTTGTGGATACAAACTAACACGGCTACCCCCGATACTTGACACCAGGCACAGGGATTATAATTTCACTTTAAGTGCAAATTTCAATGCAACCTTAAATATAGTATCACCAAGAATACCTGCATAATGTTCCACCCCTAACAAAATAAGTAACCTGGCCTGCTATTGCCTGGGACATTTAATAACTTCTGAAATGAGAATTAATTATATAAAGTTATGGTCAGGGCATTAGATCTCCACTAGAGAAATACAGTGAAATAGGCTTTATCTCTTTCCCTTTTCATGGATTATTATTTATTATTATTTTGTTTTATTTTATTATTGGTAGGAAGTGGAAAAAATGTTAGAAAAAGGTTGAAGCCCTCTTCAACATGTATGTTTTCAAATTGTCGTAGTTCAAGAACCTATTTAGTTCACTTCAGATTGGTAGAACAATTCTACCTCAGCCCCTCATCTAAATTTAGTATATTTCTGATGCTAACATGATCTTCTATGTGTATTTTAGAGGGAAGGCTAAAATTATGATTGAAAATCAGTTCAAACCTTAACTATAAAGTGAATTCTGCAAATGTAAAATGAACATTCAGGAGTACAAGCTTCCTTTTTTTTTCTTTTCTTTTTTATTCCTAGTTTGTTTGGGCTTTTTTTTTGTTTGATTGTTTGGTTTTGTTTGTTTGTTGTTTTTTAATAAGGATTTCCCCCCAACTGATTGTCCCTTAAAGGAAAAATAAACAAACCAATACATTTTCCTAAATAGTCCCTGGCATCAAATCAAGTCCTAATATGCTGCTTGTTAACCCTGCCTCCTAACACCTGTGCTGCTTAGCCTCTTTAAAAGGCTTGCATTCTGGTATTGTTTAAGTAGCATTTTATCCCCCTTTTCCCCCCAGTGTTAGTGCAGGTAAGGCCTCTTACAAGTGTAGAAAAGGAAGTGGCAAATTTATTTTTAAAGACTTCTATAAAGCTTAACAACTCTTTCTTAAAGTAGGACCCTGGTGTGAGAAAGAAGATCATTCCTCAGGGAAAGAAACGTGAAAGTTTGCTGATTAGTAGCAAAGGAGCAGAGGTAAGAAAAACCAGAAATCACATTAGCTACCAACTGCTCTCAGGTTATTAGGTCCTCTTTAATTTTTTTTCCCTTATGGACTGTTGGTCACTTCATTATAGTAACATCTCTAAATACCTGCAGATCTAGCTTATTTAGAATAAAACACATTTTTGGTGTCTACCTGTGGGTCCTGGGTGTCCTTGCCATCAATTTAAACAGACACTGATACAATACCAGGGAAGCTATATGCTGATTTTACTGTGAGTTTTGTGGTATTATGAGGGATGGTCACTTGATCATGGCTTTCTCTCTTCTTAAAAAGTAAGTTTCTAGATCTCATGGGTCTGAGAAAAGACTGAAGATGTTTTGAGCCTTTAAGGTTTTACCAGTAGTAAAGGAGATAAGTTGTTTCTGGTAATATCCTGTGCAGTTGATAACCTGTGTTAATGGCCAATAATATAAAGAAACCACATGGGAACAGCTGAGTTGTACATAACCATACTCCCCATGTATATGCCTGCAAGGCTGAGACAGGCTGTAAGTCTAGCTTGTTTCTAAAACATAAAAAAGTGAGCCATACGAGGGGGCTCACAGGATAGTGCATAGGAAGGAAAATAATATACTAGTAGAGTGATAGTTTACAAAAATCCTGTATTATTTCTTTGTTCTGGCTGTGTATGTAGTTTAGGAATAGATATTTTAAATAAAAAGAAGGGAGAGGAGACATGAGGGATAGGGCAGGGGAGAAGAGGTAGGAAAGGAAGGGAGGCTGGTGGAGTGAGAATGAGGGTGGTTGTTGAAGTAACATAATCAGAAGAGAATATCTAGAGTAAAACTATAAAAAGCAGCTTGAAGGCATTTTCAGCAGGGACTGTCTAAGACTCCTGAGCCTCTTGCTACCAGCTTGAAGTTTGTTTGTGGGGTATGGTAGGGGTTTTTCCCTTCCCCTGACCTTTGGAGATGCCTTACACACACAGAGGGTGTACATGTACCTACACACAATATGCCCTCTTTTCTCTTCTCCCCATCCTGCATGTGCCCTAGAGAGCGGGTGAGGATACCTCCTTCCTTTTGAAACCCTCTAAAGAGCACTGAAGTATTTCCTAGTCCAAGGTGGACTAATGAGAGGAGTAAGGCAAAGAATGATTTTTTTTCCTCTTTTGGCTTTCTGGCAGTTCTGAGAAGGTAATGGGTTTTTTTTTTAAAACCCAAAACAACACACTGACTCTGCTCTCCACAGATGCAAATTAATGTCTTGATAGTCTCTGGATATCTATCTATATTGTACAACTTATTTTAATGTGATTGACTGTCTTTGTTCAGGGCACTTGATGATCAAAAATAGTTGGAGTTATTGTGGGATGGGACCGACAGAGCTGGTGCTAACCCATTGGAAGCCTCAAGCAGAAATATTCCCCTTCTCCAAACAAATAACTAAGGAAGTTGTTCGAATAAATGAATGGGGGGCGGGGGGCCCCTTGAGCTGCTTGGGGCCCTAAGCAATTGCTTTGTCTGCTTATGCCTAGCACCGGCTCTAGGGATTGACATTGACAAGATTTTATTTAGTTCTTACAGTGACAGAAATGGCTTCTGTAACTGAATGAGTTTCAGGATAGAGATTAAACTTTAACTGGTAATGCTGAAAACCAAGTAAGGCACTAATACCATACCTACTTTTTAATGATGGTTCCTCATTAAGCTGCAGTACTCTACATCTCCTTGGTAGGGTTGTCATAACTCAATGAGTATCTTCAATAATAAATTTGTAAGGTTGAATCTTATTATAGCTAAATGTAACACTTACCTGAGACCACATAGCTTAGTCTTGTACTAAAACTTCCATAGGGCTGCCCTGGGTAAGCCAATGTGTCTGAGCTTCCCATGAAGAATTGTGTTCATGAACAGTTGCTTTTTTCTGAATTACTGTTAATGTGAGGAGTTATAATTTGGCCTAGACACTTGGCCGAGACACTTTTTTTTTTTTTTTTAAAAACTGGCATCAAATGGCCATCTTTCATTTTATAGCACAGCTGTAGTAATGCTATCTAAAGGAAATGAATAGTCAGTTAACCATAGGGTCTTGTAAAAATTCACCTTACTTATAATTTTGTTTTTCTTGCATATTTGTGAACAGTAAATTGCTTCTGAGGAAACATCTCAAATTCATTAATCAGCTTGCTGAGTTAATGTACTGACATACTAAAAATAGTCTTCCCATGGGAAAACTACTTTAAACGGGTCTGTCTTTTTTTATTATTAAAGCACCACTGCTTAAATGGAGCAGCTGTCAACTTCTTGTTAATTTCTACTCCTTTTTCCTTGGGGGGGGAAAATTATTGCCCTGCTGTATAAAATCCTTAAAAAGCACCCACTTTCAGGACAGCTTGAAACTTCAAGGATCATAGACTGGACTCTTCTGGTAACCTCTACCTGCTTACTGCTTCTAGTATAAGATTGCTAGAAAGTTTAGCGTCTCTCATGTATGATAAATAAGAGAACAGGGACTAGAACCTGGTGGTGGCAGTGGCACTCTTCCAAAAGCTCTGATCCTAAATAGCGCCCACTCTGCTGGGTGCTGGACAAACACAAATAGAAATATGCAGCTCTTGATTTGGAGAGCAGATGCTCTTGAGACAGGATGCACTGAGTGAATATTTAATAAAATTAACAAAAATTACCTAAGAGAGAGGACATTTTCTTGAAACATCCCCCTCGCCCCCACCAAAACCCTCCGTCCCCTTGTTTCAAAATTTGAGGTACCCGTCGTCCTCTAGAAATAAAGGTGTGAACGTCTGTTTACATGAGGTAGCTATTTCTACCACTTGGTGGCTCATTTGTTGTCATTGATGGCTAGATTGTTAAACTTCTTATGGGTGTTGCATCAGAAGTGGGCCTTGAGGAATTTGAAGGAAAGGGTAGGGTTTTTATATCCATTCAAGAGGGGAATAAGAGCTGGGGAACCGGTGTGTCATAAATATAAAGGGAAGGGTAAACCCCTTTGAAATCCCTCCTGGCCAGGGGAAAGCTCCTCTCACCTGTAAAGGTTAAGAAGCTAAAGGTAACCTTGCTGGCACCTGACCAAAATGACCAATGAGGAGACAAGATACTTTCAAAAGCTGGGAGGAGGGAGAGAAACAAAGGGTCTGTGTGTCTGTCTTTGCCGGGGATAGACCAGGAATGGAGTCTTAGAACTTTTAGTAAGTAATCTAGCTAGGTACATGTTAGATTATGATTTCTTTAAATGGCTGAGAAAAGAATTGTGCTGAATAGAATAACTATTTCTGTCTGTGTATCTTTTTTGTAACTTAAGGTTTTGCCTAGAGGGGTTCTCTATGTTTTTGAATCTAATTACCCTGTAAGATATCTACCATCCTGATTTTACAGGGGGGATTTCTTTATTTCTATTTACTTCTATTTTTTATTAAAAGTCGTCTTGTAAAAAACTGAATGCTTTTTCATTGCTCTCAGATCCAAGGGTTTGGGTCTGTGGTCACCTATGCAAATTGGTGAGGCTTTTTATCCAACATTTCCCAGGAAAGGGGGGGGTGCAAGTGTTGGGAGGATTGTTCATTGTTCTTAAGATCCAAGGGTCTGGGTCTGTAGTCACCTAGGCAAATTGGTGAGGCTTTTTACCAAACCTTGTCCAGGAAGTGGGGTGCAAGGTTTTGGGAAGTATTTTGGGGGGGAAAGACGCATCCAAACAGCTCTTCCCCAGTAACCAGTATTAGTTTGGTGGTGGTAGTGGCAAGTCCAAGGACAACGGGTGGAATATGTTGTACCTTGGGGAAGTTTTGACCTAAGCTGGTAAAGATAAGCTTAGGAGGTTTTTCATGCAGGTCCCCACATCTGTACCCTAGAGTTCAGAGTGGGGGAGGAACCTTGACACGGTGAATGGACCTAAGGGCTTTCAAAGCTTGCAGAATGGGGTAGAGGCAACATGATATGTACAGAGGGGCACAGTTGTGAAGAGCTTTGAAATCAAAGACAAGCTCAAATTTGATGGGGATGGAAAAGGGGAGCTAGTTGAGGTTAGTGTGACTTGGTCAGAACGCTAGGCAGCAAAAAGTGTCTTGGCCGATGTCTGCTATGGTTCAGAAGAGGGCTCTGATTGTCATTCACGATTATCATGGAGAATTAGGAAGCTGCACTCCTCTGTATAACAGAGATGGGGCCTGAACAAGCGTTTTAGTGGCATAGACAGTCTCTTTAAGGCTCTTCAGGAGGAAGAAGTGACAGGAGTAGCACATAAGCTGGATGTGAGGGGGGGGGGGGGGGGGGGGAGATAGGAATAACATACATGGTAGTGGTCCCACAGGCTAGGGCATTGGGATAAACTGTTCAAAGGAAGATATTCCATAAGTGACAGTCTACCACGGGGTTCTTCCTCAGTATATCTAGTACTGACTGATGGATGGGATGCTGGACTAGAAGGACCACTGGCTTCATCAAGCATGACCATTTTTACTTTCCTATGGAAGTTTTTTTTTTAAGGAAAGACAACTTTGGGATCCGTACATGGGGATCTTTTTCTAAAGAAGCATCATGGGCAAAACTGACACACTTTCTTTCTTTTCAGACTGCACTTCTTCACCCACACTTGAGAGCCATGGCCACTTGGAAATCCTACATTGACCACCTGATGGCTGATGGGACATGCCAGGATGCTGCCATTGTTGGTTACAAGGATGTTCCTTCTGTGTGGGCTGCTGTCCCTGGCAAGATCTTTGTGGGCATCTCTCCTGTGGAGATGAATGTGTTACTGGGGAAGGATCGCTCTCTGCTATTAGTCAATGGACTGACGCTGGGAGGCCAGAAGTGCTCAGTGATCAGAGACAATCTGATGGATGGAGAGTTCACCATAGATCTGAGAACAAAGAGCATTAAAGGAGAACCCACTTTCAACATTACAGTCTCCCAAACAGCCAGAACTTTGGTTGTGCTAATGGGCAAAGAAGGAACCTCTGGAGGAAATGTTAACATGAAATGTTTTAAGATGGCTTGCTACTTAAGAAGTGCAGGGTATTGATGCTCCAGCTGTCCACTGTGGTTCTACTGATGAAGAGAATGCAACCCTTATCTTGCACAAAGGAAAATAGATCTTTCTGCTGCGAACTCTTGCTTTACCAGTTGGCTTTTCAAAACTAGTGTGTAATATGAAAATGGGAAAAATTAAAATAAATGCTATGGTGGCTTGTTACAAAGGGGGAAGAGATGAGTAGTGTTTCCCAAACTAGTGGGGTCACAAATGTAATAGCTAGAGCTGGCTGGCTTCTCAGATCCAAACACCTTGAGACGATGAATCAGGTTCATTCAAGCAAACTTTTGGTCAAATTGCAGGGAGGTTCTATTAGAAGTCTGCCTGGTTCCCTTCCAGCTTGCCTCATGGGCTTCTGGAGAGTCTGGACTTCCAGTGATCCTGGGCCAGGACTGCCCATCAGACAGGAACATCAGGGTCCACACCTCTCCAGCAGCCTTGCCATGTCAGCTGTCTGGGGTTTCTAGAGTCTGTGGCTCCAAAACAGGCCTGCCAATGCAGGGCTTCCAAAATCTAGACTCCAAGTAGTTCAGCAGGCAGCCTGGGAACTCTGGATCAAGCCTGGACTCCTGGGGCATTCAGGCTTCCTGGTGTCCAGTCAGGAGGCTGGAGGACCTGGGATGGGCTACAAGTGTGTGATGTGGGGGCATCCCTGCCAGCTGTCTGAAAGCTCTGGGATCCCCAGCCCTGGAGTATCCTGAATGGTACAGTTATTCCAGAGCTGCAAACCCTGGAAGGCCAGAAAGCTGCTAAGCAAACGGTGGGTGGGTGGGGGTTTTTTTGGTGTGTAGTTTTTTTTTGTTTGGATTTCCACTCTGAGAGAAAGCTGAAAGACCAATTTAGTGCTAAATAAGAACAAAAACAAATGTTGACACCCTGTTTCTCACAAGCCAGGAATCCTGAGTTTCAGCAAATTCTAGTACATAATCCTTTCTCAGTAAAATTACTCTGGGGCTGCTAGACATACAGGTATTTCTAATTTTAAACTTAAATGCATGCAGAATTCATGTTTACATTTCCTTTTCTTTGAATGGTGGCTAGTCTTCTGTGACGTTCCACATTCATGCTATTGGAGAGAACGCTGCCAAATGGTATACGCTTAATACTAGATTATCATGAAGGAATTGGAAAAGGGGAAACATCCCTGTGGAACCTCACAAGAAAAACTCACTGGATCTGTTGGGCCAGTACTTATCTATTATTGCAAAAGACAGAAATATGACAACTAAAATTATTACTGAAGTTTGGGGAGTGGAAGAGTGAAGTAGTAAATAGAGGTAGAGAGAGCTCTACTAAAACAGTATCAAATTGTCAACTAAAACGAAGCTTTTGTCAAAACTGGTAATGTTCAGTGAAAGATTTCTTAGGTCCAGAATGAAACTTCTACTCAAATGAGAGAGGACTGAGAGACCAACATCCTCCCCCGCACCCACCCCCACAATTAGCCAATAGCCTGGTGGTAAGGATACACATCTTGGACAGGGGTTTCCCCCATGTTCACACATCTGCTTTGCCATTCTTCTGTGTGCCTAAACTATCAATTCATGGCTGGTCTGGGGTGGGTCACTGTTCAATGGATCAAGTGAAAAGGCCTCTTCTCCTAATGTAGGAGAAGAATCTCAAGTGGGTTTTTTGTTTTTTGGCAGGACTAGGAATTTTTTTTTTTTAGTCAGCCCTAGTAGATGATGATGACGACAGGACAATTGAGAGTTATTAAGATGAGCTCCTATGAACATGCACTCAATACAGCTAAATAAAAGGTCAGTCAAGGAACAAAGGAGGTATATCACACTTACAGGGTGGAGGACTATCTTGGAAAGTACTAACCAGGCAAGGACAAGGAAAGCATGGTGGATACCAAACAGAACATGCAATGTAACCTCTAAGAGTAGATGTAATGCTTGGAAATAGAGGTAGTATTACTGTACAGCATTAGTGATTTCATAAAGGAATACCATGGCCAGTTCTGGTGATTAAGGAATTCCTTATGAAGTTCTCTGGCCTGTGTTACACAGGAAGGACTAGATCATTATGGTTCCTTTTAGCTGTTACGTAAGAATAATACATTTATTTCACTACCACTAAAGTGCAGAAACAGGACACTTAGTTATTGGAGGGGGTTTCTACCAAATTTTCAGACAAACTGTCAAAGTTCCTTTTATAAAGCAGTGCTAGGCTTGCCTGTCCATTAACAAGAGTTAAAGCTTTCTTCCTCAAACTAGTGAAATCTCACCAGTTATCTCCAAGTTTTCCTAGTCTAGGTAAAAGATGGTGGTGGTTTTTTGTTTTTTTTTTTTTTTTTGCGCATAAGCATTGACCTATATAGTCCCCCTGCCACTCCACTTCCTGCTCCTATGGGGGTAGGTCACACCCCCAAGCTGAGCTGCAGCAGGAAGTCACTGCCTGGTTCTATAGCCCTTAAAGGGGCACATACCTTTTCCAGCAAGCCAGACAATGGGCTCCCATTGCTTAATGTGTAGTGAGGTCACCTGTAGACCACTTCAGGCTAGCAAGCTTGTTTTGTTTTGTTTTTTTTTTATATGTGCATAAATCAGATTCAATTCAAGAAGAACAACTTTCAACAGCAAAATAATGATTGGGAGTGTGGGGGGAGAGATTGTATTAGCATTCCCATGGACCAGGATGCACAGAAGGTGCATAACATGGTGCAATAGAGTATGACTTTTGAGCTATCCTAACCTTGGTGTAGTCATTAATGTTTTGTATAATCTTGCTTGGGCTAGATCCCATGATATTTGGAACCTTCTTTGCATTTTATCGCACCCATAAGGGACTGAAACACACTAATGTGGGTCTCTGCATCAACACTGCTAGCCTCTGTCAACATACAAAGGAGCAGGTACAGAATGTAACACTTACCTTACAGCTCAGATCACAGTATTGTAGGTCTTTCTTTTCCACTAATGCAGGAGAGGAGACTAGTCCATAATTTGCAAACTGGCATTTGCACTGACTACTGTTCAGCGGCCAGTCCCCCAACAAGGGGGCCCTACTGGCTTTGCAGGAATATATCGTGGCATCACAACATCCAAACATGGAATGAATAGTGCTAAAGTTGGACTTGCTTTGTGAGGTATAAAAGCTAATTAGACAAAAATACTCCTTTGCTAGAGACTTCTAAAATCTTGCTGAAGAATGGCATTTTGATAGCTTATTGGAGGAACTATATTTTTTTGAGATAAATCTGACTCAAGTGGATTAAAAGGAAAATTATGTAAATTATATAACTTTAAAGATAATTCCTTTCACTAGTAAAGGTGCCTACTAAGCTCTAAAATCATGTGTGTTTATTTTTTAACTGTGGGGGGAAAACTAATCACCTAGAACCTGTCAACTTTACATGTTCAGGGCCGGTTGACATAGACTACTGTTGCCAAATTTAGAAGGCACCTAACACTGATCAAACTGAACTAATACAGAAAAATACCACTGAGACAGGTGCACAGAAGCCATAAAGGGACAGTCCCTGTTGTTGGGAACACTGGGGCATGGCCACTAGGTAACTCGAGGGGATGGAAGACCACAAGTGTCGATGAAGCCCCCTCGCACTAGGCCCCTGTGTCCTTGCCCCACCCCCTCCTGCCTGGAGGCACTCGCAGCAGCTCTGCGTGCTAGGCCCAAGTGTCCTTGGCCCCCCCGCCTGGAGGCACACACAGCAGTTATGCTGAGAATCTGCAACAGTATGTTGCAGAGTCAGACTGCCTGAAACTAAGCAAGGCCAAACAGGGGAGATATGGAAGAACAATGCTGAATAAAGCAGCTTTATGTATAGTTGAACAAATGATACAGAGAATCAGGGAACTAGCTGGGAACTGGATTGGCTGGCTATATGGATACTTGGGGCAGCTTGCTATTGGACAAGTGTGCTGGGAAAAAGGATGTATAAAAGCCTGTGTAACTTCCTGCTCTGTTGTGCAGGATTTGAGATTTTATTCTCCCTGTACCTTTTTGAAGCTTCAAATAAACTTTTCTGCTTCTCCACCCCGTTGTGATTATTGGGTGTAGCACACCGGGTAACGAACCAACTCAAGCTGTTGTTCAGCCTCTCGGCACTGGGTGCCGGCAACAGCTTTTGGCGTCCCTGGGTGGGCCAGAGGCTGCAATTTAGCCTTGCCCGGACCCCTCCTGGAGGTCGAGGATTGCGGCGAGAACCGACGCCCAGCGCGCACCGGTGAGTTCATCGGGGGCCTCGGAGGAGACGCGATTTGATCGACCCCAGAGGGCACAACGGTGCAACGCACTCATATAGTGGAGAAGCAGCTGCAGGCCACGGTGAAGAACCGGTTCCTTGGATCAGGTAGGATCCTTTTAAAATCCGGATTATATGCTCTGTTGGAACCTGGGGACGCCCAGAGTTACCCTGTAGGTATGGGACAGGGACAGAGCTCAGAGGCTAGGGCACGGTGTACGCCCCTAGAGTGCATTCTAGCAAACTGGAAGGTATTTGGTGCGGATCCGATGATTAAGAGCCAATTAAAATGATTCTGTACAGTTGACTGGCCTCAATATCAACTAGAGGACCAGGAGTGGTGGCCACCAGGAGGGTCAATTAATTACAACACGATCCTCCAATTAGTTTTGTTTTGTTAGTGAATGGGTAAATGGAATGAACATATGTATGCGCATTTGTTTCTGACTTTATGTACTCGACCAGATATTTTACAGCGCTGTAATCTGACTCCAACTGGTTTGGTAGCAGCTAATGTTAGTCCCCAGACCCCCACCCCCACTGTAATGGCAGAGCCGGTGTCCCCTTCGACCCCTACACCCACACCTTGTAAGTCCCCAATGGTTGGCCTGTACCCCTTAATCACTGAAACTAAAGTCGCCCGGTCTGGATCGGACAGGCGTCCTGCCACAACTATGCAGGTTTATACTCATGTGCCCTTTAATCCTGTGGATTTGGCTGCTTTCAAAGCACAGGCAGGAGAGTTTTCCACCAACCCAAGCAGGTTTATATCAGTCTTTGAGGGGTGCCTCAGTAGTCACAAGCCGGACTGGGATGATTGTAACGTCCTCCTGCGAACCCTATTGTCTGAGGTTGAAAGACAACAGGTTGTGTCCAAGGCAAGAGAGGAGGCACAGAGACGGTACGACCGGGATCGTATTAATGTCCCTGACCCGGATGCACAAGTCCCCCGAGCAGACCCCAGGTGGGATCCAAATGATCATGGGGATATGACCCGCCTTACCTCCTATAAGGAGTTGCTTTTGCATGGACTCCGTCACTCGGCTGTCCGACATAATAATTGGGCAAAGCCATATGAAGTAATGCAGGATTTAAAAGAAAGCCCAGGGGCCTTTCTACAGCGTATTCGGGACACCATTCGAC